GGATGTTCGGCACGGTCGAATCTCTGTTGTCCAAGTTCGGGATTGAAGACTTAGGGTCAGTTGATGAGCTAAGGAAACAAATCTCCCCTACTACCGATGGGAGAGACCTTCCAGATAGTGAAGTTAACGGGAAGGCTGAGTACATTCTGCCTCGAGATTTGAGGCACATTATGAAGGGCTGGGACGAAGGGAAGTCTCAGGCGACACTCCAATGTGATAATGTTGCGGCGCTTCAGGACATTCAAGGCATGGGCAAGTCTGGGCTGGCTATCTTCTTAGAGCACTCCAGAAAGTCTGCTCGGAAGCTAGGGATGAAGCAAGTTCTCTCCGGTATTGATGAACTACTCATGCTCATGAATACCATCAATCAAGGATGGTTTCACCTTGGTGAAACCGCTTTCGAGTGGCTTAAATGCCTTCTTATGCCAGACTACGGGCGTGTTTCTACGGAGGATGGTGTATCCAACACTTCAAACTTCCCTATCATGAATTCCACATATACTTTATTCCAGTGGCCAGACACACTGAAAGAGACAGTGGTGCAAATATTGATACGCGAAGATGAAAACACCTACAAGAGAATGTGCGAACATCTGGAGGCTCTTGAACGCCAAATCCTTGGCGCTAGCGCTGAAACGCCGTTTGAATACACCGCGACTCATTTCGCATATCTCGAGATGATTCAAGCCATGTTTGAGCTCCATCTTGATATATACGCCTCCATTAACAACCCAAACAGTGAAATCGACCAAGGGATCAGAGTACAACAAAAAGATCGTTTAGCACGGTGGAGCTTGCTCGCGCGTACTTCCTTAACCCACTTCATGGATTACTCTTCACCCGGCAGTCATCAGGATAATATTGTTCTTCGCCATATCTGGGCTTCCACATTCCACTCAAACATGACAACTGACGCCGAGCGGGAACATGTATTACTTTGTCTTCAGGAACTGAAGCACTTGCTCAGCCGCTTGAAGGATCCAGTAATAAGCCTAGTAAACAACGCAATTATGCCGGAAATATCGATTGAAGCCGTTGACCAAGAGATTTCGAAGCTGGAGTCTATGGACTTCTTCATGAGAATTTTTAATACTGAATCAGAAGACCCTGTAGGGCTCATCGAAACCATAGAGCCTATTTTGGAGCCTGCTTCGGTCCAGTTTGAAGAAAACACTTCAGAGGATCAGGGAAATTCTCCACCGACGTCACAGCTTCACGAAATGGGTTCTTTTTTGGATCGAGGGGACGCAACTTTGAGGCTTTTCTTATGGAAGAGGCTACAAGACGCATACAAAAAGATCGACTACGCACCGAAAGTTGTGTCGTGCTACCTGCGGAGTATTGAAACTATTGTGAGAGAGCTTTGGAACCCTGCACATCTAGAAGAGCCTAGTGAGCACCGCCAAATTACCTTGCTCCGTTGGTTAAAATCTCTCGAAGGAATATTGAATAAGACCGTAACAGCGGTTTTACAGGAGCCAGCCAAAGCATACGAATGTTTTGATATGGACCACGTGAAGTCCTCGCTATCTGCAGTAACGCTAGTATTGAAACTACTTCACAGTTTTGTGCTTTACGAAGACTCCGTTCGTGTGGGCCAGTTATCTGGCTCCGATGTACGCGGGGCGTTGGCAAAGTCGTTGGAAAGCTTCAGAGATAAACTGCGGGAAATGCACGTCCGTTGTTGGATCCTCCACTATACCTTGGTGAGAGAAGCTATTGCACAAAATCCAGAGCTCTTCGATACACCCCTTGATGACCGTATTCTTTACTTGCGCTCTGTGCACAATGCCTTGGGCATCAGGAAGATGTGCAGACGTTCCCACAAGCAGTTTCTTAAGCTTGTTAAATCCGAGATTTTCTCCTTGGATGAGAAAGCAGACTATGAGTATGATATTTGCCAACTACTTTATGATATACATGGCATCAAATTGTCGCCGGTTGATGGTTATTTGGAGGACCATGGTTGTCCGCCGGAGAAACTGGATCGCTCTACAGCTATTTTGATGATTGACTTTGTCATGAAGCAAGCGAAGAAAATGAACATCAGGGATCTGTCAAAATCTGACTTGAAGTACACGATTGAGAAGATGCAACAAGCCATCGGCACCACAAAGTCATCGCCTCCATTGTCCTACAATAAGCGCATTCTGACGGCTTACTTGAAATCTCCGTTAAACCCAACAGAAATCTTCCGTGCCGTTCGAGGAGTTGAAGATCTTGCATTACTCCCGGTGCCTACCGAAAGTGCGGTCATTGCGAAGAATGGATGGTACTTCCTTCTAGGACATGCTGCGCTAACCAAATTCCGCTCTCAGAAACGTCTTAACCCCGTTCCAACCACTGATCTTGATGAAGCTATCACCTGGTTCAGGCAGGACTTGGAACACAACACTCAGAGATGGGAATCCTGGTATCGACTTGCCCAGACTTATGATTCGAAGCTGGAGGAGGACATAACGTGGTCTGCGGACAAGATTAATAATAACCGGACAGAGTTAGTGACTTGGCAACGCTATGCGATCCATAGCTATGCTATGGCTGTTGCAACGGCAGCAAGGACCGCCGACCCTACACCAGAGACTCGAGCGCTCGTATCTGACCTCTACACCGACTTTGGAATCCGTTTGTACTCATCTTCTCGAGAACCCTTATCCATGGCCGCCTTTAGCCTTTCCGATTTTACTCGACATTACAACAGTGAAGAAAACCAGCAGATGTATAAAGCGCTTCCCTTCAAGGAGATGAGGTTGTACTCCGTCTGGAATCTTGCTAGTTACCTCCTTAAGCGTGCCATTCGCAATAAGCCCAAGAGTTGGATGTATGTCTTGCCTTCGCTGTAACTGATGGTGTGGCCACTAACTGTGACTTAGGACTCGCTATATGCTAAGTAAATGTCTCTGGAAGATGTTTAGCTGCGATGACTCCGTCAGGGGCACATCAAAGCACGTTCACCTTGATGATCTCCTAGACTCTCTGCTCGACGCTATTGATGCACTGCCTCAAAAGAGGGATTCTCGATCGGATCCTATCTTCGAACCTCACTATAAGCTCGTATCTATTGTTCACAAACTGGTCCATAGAGGAGTAGTTACGGTACGCAATATCCCCCAAGTTTGGCTTTGACGATGTGTGAGCGGCAGTTAACTTTTCTTCTCAGCCGGCTGAGGGAAGCAAGACTCTCGTTGCCACTCCTTGGGCGCGAAAGGTGTCACCTCCGGAGGAAGGTGCCCCTTGGAAGCCATACATAATGGCTGTCATTCGAAACCTGAAGCATGCAGACAAGTCGAACTGGCACCATCGCATGGCTGTCAGGGTAAGTCCAATAATCTGAACTATCACCTGTAACGACCCAAGACTTACCTGAATTAGGCTGCCCATATCACTTATGACGATGACAAGGACGCAGCCGCAGCCGCAGGAGCCAAGGGTGAACTGACACAGCAGATATTCACAAAGACAATGACGATCCAGGTGTGGAGGCCTGAGAATGAGCGTCCCGGCAGACACTTCGTTTACACGACACGATACGTATATTTCTTTGTGGCTCTACTAGAACAACTGGATGACCGTGCAAGTCTCGACCAACTACTACGTCGGGTCAGGAAAAAGCAAGGCGATTTCATCAACCATGCAAAACTATGGGAAGACCTATGTTTAACCTATGCACGAGTCATACGAAAAGCGGGCAATATTAACGAAGGACATGACGAAAGCGTGTTCAAACCCATCGGGTGGGACGAATTCGTCGCAAACACAGCCCGCCTAGAAGGTCTTCCCCAGTTAGCTCCAGAGAGCATAACACTCCTTGAACTTCTCCGCGATGCCGTCGAGCTAAAGAAGTTAAACAACAATCTCATGAAAGTCTCCCTATTAGAAGACCTCATCGCCGACATCTACTCCCGCCTATACGAGGTCAACATGCCCAACGTCATCGAACAAGCGAACGAAGAAAACAAAGAGAAAATGAAAGTAGACCACCTCCTCATGGCCAGCGATGGCGCGGCAGACACCCCTACACCCCCAACTTCCGCGCCTGCATCCGAAGCCCCAGCACCCCGCGGCCGCACAAAGGGCATCGCAAGACGGGACATCCAAAAACGGGCCGAGACAATCGTCCAACGCAAACTCGCGCCTCGCGCTCCTATCGCCAAAGCACCCGCCGCTGCAGAAAATGAACCATCCCACGCCGTCGGCGCAGTTACATCCGCTCCTGAGCAAACGAAAGACACTGCTACATCCGCTGTAGCGGCTGATGAGCTGGCCTCAGGGCAACAGAGCGACATTCCCAATAGCTTGCATGACAGTGCTGATGATGAAAGCGAGCTGAGCGAGATAGATGATGAGAAATTATCTAAGCTTGCGGCAGAGCGAAGCTTGTTGTTCCCTAATCTGCAGGATAGGGGATCTTTGGATCCGGAAGTGGAAATGTCGGCTCAAGCTAGCGCCGATGGGGACGGAGCTAATGAAGGGGCCGGTGACGGGGAAGAGGACGGCGATAGGGATGAAGATGCTGACCTTGGTGATGAAGGTGAGACCATGGTAGAGGAAGGGGAGACTATGGCAGAGGAAGGTGAAGAGGGTGTTGATGGCGATGAAGCCGAAATTGACGGAGAGGGCGAGGGCGAGGGCGAAGGCGAAGGTGAGGGAGAAGACGAAGAAGATAACGAAGCGGGTGGGGAAGAAGCGGTGGAGGAAGATGATGGCGAGGCCGAGGGCGATGCTGACGGGAACGAAGCCAACGACATGGATGTCGACGACGGAGGCGAGCAACTCGCTGCTCCTGAAGCTGACCAGGAAAGTGACCATGTGTCTGATTCCGAGGCAATGGATATCTGACGCACTTGAGCTGTAAACCTTTTTTCATGACTTCACTGATATCCCAAGGCCAACTCCAACGGCTGCATGCTTTCTATAGATCATCTGCTTTCACTCCTATGGTAAACGGCGTTCAGGTGCGAGGAAGCAAATGGTAAAGGTGGTATTTTAAAAATTGTACCATACACAAGAATTAATATTTATACATGAAATGTCGTAACCCCAATCTATCACAACCAAAACATAACGCCCATGATCCTCCTCATATAATGTACAGTGAATAAGCGTTTCAATATGTCAAGTCAAAGAAAAATGAAGAAAAAGGACTGGGCGTGTCAAAACTTCAATCTGAAAGGGTTCGCGGGTATCATCAAGGAATTCAGATATCTTCCTCGGGGGCGAAATCCCATTTTCGGGTTGCCATCTTTCTTAGCCTTTTACCGGGGGAGGTTGCAGGCGGAGCAGGAGAAAACATGCTGTCTGCAAGCTTCAACTGATCCATCCGTTGGAGTGCCATGTCAATGTCACTCTCGCGACCAAGGATATTGGAATTGCGAGACGACTCGAGTGTATTCTTGGATTTGGACTTCTTTGTAGGAGATCGGCACATTAGTTCACGTTCCAATGATGTGACCTTGCTGCGAAGCTGGTCAATTTCGAACTCCAGTTCTTCCACCTTCTCATCCCTAGAAGGCTCGGGATCGGTATGGACTAGGTGCATCTGTTAGTCTGACCACAGATCATCTGTGAGAAAGGGGAAGGAGTGGAAACAGTACCTTGGAAACCGCGAGACAATAGTTCAATCTTCTTATCAAGGTGTTCATCGTTATGACCCGCCTATGATGGTCAGTAAGATGCTAGCAGTTGTCTGCAAGTCAAGGTGCTCACCTGTTCCTCCAGAGCAATTTGCCACTTCTTTCTCTCTTCTTCCATCCTCTCATCCATTTCAGCCCAGCACTCTTCGCGCACTTCCTGCTCGATCACGAGACATGTTTCTTCACTAGTTCTCAGTCTCATATCTAAATCTGCTCTCATGATCTCTTCTTCTGCTAATCTCACGGAAAGTGCCTCATTCTCCTTCGCCAGTCTGTCGATTTCGGCTAATGCCTTCTCGAGCTCTTCACTAGTTGCCATATTCGGCGCAGAGCGTTCGCTAGCAGAAGACTTGCGAGGCTCAACTGTAGCAGAGTAGACAGACTCGGTCGCAGATGGAGCCCGAGGCACGGTGACTTCCCGCGCCAAAGCTGAATAGCGCAGGATCTGCGAAGTTGCGTTGTAGTCCCCAAGAGGATCTGCGGTCACTACCATAATAGCCTTTTGTGGGTGGCGATTGGGACCAGACGTCTGGTTAGATGATGGGAATGAGTTCGAGAATAGTAGCTCGGTGAGCTTGCATTGTCTGAAGGGGACCAGAGCAGTCTATGCTTATTAGCAGACGCTACGTAAGCGTGAAAGTGAGTCGTACCTTCCCCTCTTGTATCTCGCTCTGCATTTGTAAGCATCGACCGAGATACATCAGACTTTCGTTGATTTTACCCGCCTCAGCCAGGGTAGATCCAGCCGTTTTGGCAGTTCTTGCACGCTCGGAGCCTAGAGCACGGTTAGTAACTTTATGGTATGCTCCTCCAGTTGTCAACTTACCAGCAAGGTCTGCCACTGTAAGTGTGTTCCCCATCCATGTTTCTTCTCCCGTTCTCTTATTGCGCATCCTTCTCTTGACTTCGAGGCAGAAAAATCCATGGCTTCGTGAACTGACACTGTTCGCGCCAGTACCCGTGACTTTGCGTTCAGTAAGTCCGACTTCTAGAATTGCCAGTGCCTCTTCATAAGTACTGCAGGCTATTTTGCGTAGGCCCGCGACGACCTTTCTGTCGGGAGAACCTTCAGTAGACTTGAAAAGGAGGGGTCTTCGTCTGTCCTTCTGGCTGGTTCCCCCTCGCGACACGGTACTTCCTTGGCCTGGGACTATCGCTGGCGATAAAAGGTCAAAGATACGGTCATTATAGACCTCATACATTGACACCAGTACGATATATTCAGAGTTAGGATTCAGTTCCAACGTGAGATGGCTAACATCGGGCGAACGAGGCGCAACATTTGGCCGCTGGGGCAGATTACGACGGGGGAAAATAATAGCAGGCGTCGGTTCCTTCAAGTGTTGAGATTGTTTAGCGCGATTCAGATCAATAAAGCTAGGTTGAGTGTATGAAAGTGCAAATGAAAGGCCAGGGACCGTTTGTCTGGGGCTCGCTTTAATGGTGGCATTTTTGTTTAGGCGGCCCATGTGGTTTAAGCTAGGGTGATATCCATTGGGTAGTCCATACGCCAAATTATGGCCGCAAAAATGACTTGGAAAGGGGGCTTGAGGGCGCAAAACCGAGGACCTGAGCAATTGGCTCTGGGAAGGGAAGCATACCGTCAGAGGAGTCTGAGCTCTTCCAGAGCTCATTGGGGTCTGTGCTCTAGAGTTCCTACCACGGTCGGCACTTTGGTCTCCGTATACAGCTTCGAGAAAAGTCTGTGCTGTGAATATCTGCGATTCTGACTGGTCCGACGACGCAACTGAGGACAGAAGGAGGGGATTGATAGAGTTGTCTGGTGGTTTGATTGTCGAGGCTAACGATTTGAAGATCACATCGAGACTCATCTGGGTGAGGCCTCTTTGGGTTTTCGAGCCCAAGATGGTGTGGCTCTATATCTAGCCGTCAGCGCCGCTTCATATCTTGTTGCGTTTGATCCCCACCTTTCCACTTCCTGTCACGCCTAATGTAGCGACCAAACCATCTCTTCCCTCGAGCAGCACTCCCTGTATGATTGAATCGAGTCCTGTGTCCTCGAACACATTTAACTGAGAAGCCGACTCTTCAAAAACCTTGGTGAATCCAAATTTCTCAACTGTCCGCTTTCTAGCATCACTTGGCGGCTGCAGGACAATATGGGTTGCTGCTGAAGCTGAATTTTCCTGGTCATTTCCAACCTCATCTCGAGACTCAGGATACTCGACTGTTAAGCATCGTTCGGCCTGGTCATCTGGCTGGGAAATGGGCGGACGAAGGCGGAGGAACACCTGAAATAGTGACGATTGAGAGGGTTTCACTGGATTCATAGCTGCGGGCCCTTCTCTGTCGGCTGTTCACATAAGAGGAGACACGACAGCAAGAAGTGGGTTAGTATCGTCGTCCCCACGTTGGCCTGGTTTAGTCGGATCGTGATAACGTTGAAGCAGTTGATGGGTTTCCACTTTCAGATGTCATGCTAAGTCTGTCATTCCCCTTTCAGTTAGCGTCATGTTGCCCGGGCAACTCCATCCTTACCAGCCCAAATGGGGTTGATGCCCCCTACATCAGGCCGAAATCCTTCATCCCTAGGTATAGCCCTAAGGAATACCACTTTTGTTACGTCAAATAACACACTTCATACTTTTGTCCGTTGTCAGGGGTTCTTTTTTCGTGACTTAGAAACTCTCTATACGAGGTCTCACCCCGTGATAGCCTGGGTGCCTACTCTGGCCACTTACTTGGCTCAGCCCTGCTCGTATTCGCTAAGTGGAACCAACAAAATCTATGGTGACTAGCGAAACCCATATCGTCATGCATACGCCCGGTAGAATATTGGATCTTCATTGATGATCCCGGGGATTATAAGCTTCCAGTGCGATTTCAGATGACAACAAAAATGGCATCGAAAGTCAGCCTCGTTTCCAGAAACTGATCCGTTCTGGACAAGAAGAAATTGCTTAGACTAAGTCAGAAAGAACGGTACCCACTAAATCCACCTCTACCCTACTCTAGATTGAGGCTGGTTTTGCGAGATTCACTTGTGTCATTGGGCACTCATTGAGGCTTGTATTTGATCTGAACCGGATCCCGAGCTACTTCCACTTTCCTACTTAGGCCAACTCGTTTTCGCTTATGACTTGTCGACAGTTTCTCGAAGACCTGTTGTCGATATATAGATAGCCATAACTTCATAGAATACCGCTCAAGAATCTATATCATTAACTATCGTTTTGGTTATTGCCCAAGTCGTTGTCAACCTTTAGTAACCTGTATCTCTCCATCCGAATTCATATACCCTCCGTACTAGCTAAGGACTATGATCGATAAAAGGTCTCCCTACCGTATGTTTACCCTCTGACTTGCTCACAGCAACTTTTCATCGCTGACTTTGCACAGAGGAGGGGAGTCTTTGGTATTATGCACCTAATAAAGGCGCGCCGATCGCTTTTGCGATTCTTTTTGCAATATCCGGTATACTGCATGGTTATCAATGCTTGTGTGTTGGACCTCCCGTATCACCGAGGCTCAAGGCTAATCAGTATTACTATGAAGCAAATACAAGTCATGGAAAGTAACAGGCCTACTACCTTGGTCTGCTTTACTCTTTACTGCAGGGTTCGTGATGCGTACCATTGGGGCTTTCGGGCATTGGGACAATCTGGGTATTTTCATTTCAAGCACTGTCTTCCTATTAGCTGGGCCGTAAGTTCCCTTTATGATAGGTTAGTTATTGAAGAGGCTAATTGAGCTTCAGTCCTGTCTATGAAGGAGCCAACTTCTTTACTTTGGGCCGTATTCTTTACTATATCCCTTATCATTCGCCAATGCATCCAGGCCGTGTGTTCACCACATTCATTGCCATGGGTATCGTGATTGAGGTCATAACAGCAAATGGAGCATCATTGGTCGCCAATACAAGCAATCCCGAAAGTACGCAGAATACGGGCAAGGCCTTACTCAAAGCTGCCCTGATCCTGCAAATCGCATTGATGGTAGGGTTTGTTGCTCTGGCTAGCAAGTTTTACTACAATTGCCATCGCGCTGGCGTTCTGAATATCAAAGTGAAGAAGGCCCTTTATGTGTTATATTGCAGTTGCACACTCATCACCATACGCACTATCTACCGAACTGTCGAGTATTTCACAGCTGCAAGTCTGAACACGAGCAATATCGATGATATAAGTCCCATTCTTAAGGATGAATGGTTTTTCTATGTATTTGAGACAGTCGTTATGTTTGCCAACACTACTCTCCTCAACGTCTTTCATCCCATGCGATGGCTTCCTCGTTCAAACCGAATCTATCTTGCGACGGATGGTGTGACAGAAGTGGAGGGACCAGGCTACGAGGATCGTCGGCCATTCCTCCTTACCCTTTTTGACCCTTTCGATATATTCGGTATGATCACAAGGAAGGGAAAGAAGGAGAAGTTTTGGGAAGTTGACCACCAGCCATCGACTGGCGTCTGAGGTGTTAAGGCATTGCTTGACGGTTTATGTTTTGTTTTGTTTTATCGCCGTTTTCGTTTGTTTCTCTGTACCACTCATTGGATATCATTCTGTATATAGATAGCCTTCATTATGACTATGAAGCTGAATTATTGAAATCAACAAGTCCTTTGGTCATACTATTATTTTTTTTATCAGGGTTCTGGAACGTTGTACTATAGTTCATGTTTAGACCAATCAAAAAGCACGGTTGAGTGGTTGGGTCTGCACGGAAAAGCTACCGAGAGCCGCGCAGGAACCACATGGCCTTTTGGTACGGGCAACATTGGACACATCTCCCTTTGCCCAACTGGCTGACAATCACCTACTCACAGCCGTTTGTTGAGCAAAGTGTGACTCGACTGATACATTCAAGTGAGCGACATTAAACTGGAAGTGTTATTTCTCCATACCATCAGTTCTCGCGAACATCCCCTCCGTCGAACCTCCGAAGCTTCCTCCGCCGCGATCACAGGCACAGGCTGTCTCTCAACTCGACCATCAATCAACAAACGACTCGAACAAGCACCTTTAATATATATCGTTCGATAATCAATTTAGTCTCGTCTGTCTGAATAGGGTCGCCACAATGTTGTCGTTTCTCTCGTCGAATTTATCCAATGCCCGGCAGTCACTTGCCCAGGTACTCAACTTCGCGCTGGTGCTCTCTACTGCATTCATGATGTGGAAAGGCCTCTCCGTGTTCACCGCATCCTCCAGTCCGGTTGTAGTGGTTTTATCCGGTAGTATGGAGCCGGCATTCCAAAGAGGAGATCTACTTTTCTTATGGAATCGAAGCCCGCGAGCTGAGCTAGGCGAGGTCGTCGTCTACAATGTCCGGGGCAAGGACATTCCTATTGTGCATCGCGTCGTGAGAACATTCCCAGAAATCGAAGGAAAGGCGAAGAAGGTGAAGGAGATTTCCGAGTATGTCCAGCCCTTTGTTCTCTTTGATGCATTAAGTGTCACAAGAATCTCAACACTAACGGATCACCACTTCCCCATCTAGGTCCTCACCAATCCCCAACAATATGCTCCTTACCAAGGGTGACAACAATATCGCTGATGATGTTGAGCTGTACGCGCGAGGCCAGGACTATCTCAATCGCGAGGAAGACATTGTCGGCAGTGTACGGGGATATATCCCCATGGTGGGATATGTGACTATCTTGCTCAGCGAGTACCCATGGCTCAAGACAGCCCTCCTTGGAATCATGGGATTAATGGTCATGTTACAAAGAGAGTAGTAGCACCTTTCTACCATTGGAGTTCGGGCAATAATTACTGTTGACATTTGAATGTTGTTTTCTGGGAGAGATTGATTCAGCGTAGACGAGAACCTGTGCATGGATCGCGTGGGCGGGGAATTATAGCTCTAATAGTAACGCCCGATGCAACCCTAGGGCCATGGTGCACCGAGAACACAGCCAAATAACGCGGCAATAATACGACCCAATAGTTAGAGGGGTCCACAGATGGCTACTTAGCAAAATTGAACGCATGGCTTTTGCCACCATGAATTGTGCGCAAAAGGTTTTCGACGGTGCAGGGGGGAGGGGGGGATGTAATAAGCGCCAACAAAAAGGGGGTGAGAAGATAAAGGGTCACTGCTAAATAAAGCAAACATCAAATACAGCCCTGGGGTGTGGACAGGGCCGCTCTGACGTCGTCTATTCATTCAACTTTCCGCCCCGCCTGATCGGCTCGGCGGCCCCGCCGACTGCTGCTTGAGCTCGAGGTGGATGACTCGACTTTTGGACAACACACTCTCTTTATCGCTTGCGGTCCTGTCAACCCCTGCGTCAATCCTTAGTAACACTGGTTCTTTGACTGTGTATCAGTTCTGGGGTATTCTTTATTCTTCTAACCGAGATCCCCAACTTTCATCATCTGATCTAATAGAGCTCCGTGTATCCGAGAGTTCTTTACCATCTTTTTGAATTTTCCCCTCCTACACTTGCTCTTTAAGTCTTCCAAAAACTTCTGAAACGATGGGTAGCAAAAGGATAGCCAAGGTATGCACCAGTTTCACGACTTTCTCTGGACAGGGCTCCCGTGACTATTGACCGAGCAAGAGGGGCTAACAATCAGTTTATTAGGAACTAGCTGAGCTCACAGAGTCTCCTCCAGAGGGCATCACCGTCGAGCTAGCAAACGAGTCAGATATCTACCAATGGAAGGTTTACATGGACGGCCCAGAAGGGTCGCCGTACCACGTAAGTTCCCGAGACGGAAGACGAGTCCCAATCCTGCCTTGATGTGTTAGCGCAGTGAAACACTGACCCGTATCCCCCTGAATCAGAATGGCAGATTCCTAGTCAAGCTCAGTCTTCCCACCGAGTACCCTTTCAAACCACCATCTGTTTCGTTCGGGACCAAAATTTACCACCCAAATGTGACCAACGATGACAAGGGCAGCATGTGTCTGGGCATGCTGCGGGCCGACGAATGGAAGCCTAGCTCCAAGATCGCAGCGGTGCTTGAGTTCGCGCGTCAGCTGCTCGTAGAGCCCATGCCTGATGATGCTGTCGAGGGGCGTATCGCAGAACAGTACAAGAATGACCGGGCGCGGTATGACGAAATCGCACGGGAGTGGACAAGAAAGTATGCGATGGCATAGGGTGGTTATCTAGAAGCGCGATTACCAGAGCTGACTTCGTGGTACCGCTCTCGGGGGGAGAATTGCTGATCGGACACTACTTGATCTTTGAACAGTGAGGTACCTGGTTGGCTTTACGCTCCGAGCTGAAAATAGAGAAGACACAAGAGTACATATCCGCTACTACCATTATTGCTTTCAGGTCAAAATCTCATCTGAGGGACTCTAGGGACAGGTTTGGGAGTTTTCATCTTCGATGTCTAATCCATTCGTTAGCATTGCAAATCATTTCTAGGACAGGGTCTTACCTTGTTCCGCATGTGAATAATTCAGGTTAGAGTCATAGAACCACCCAAGGAAAACAGGGGTTTTTACACAAATTTATATCATGTATCCATGAAGGGATCTGGCGTAGGTACACCGCGATTGGTAAGGGGAAATTATGCTTAGTATAACCCTACTAAGCTGCCAGTTGTTGTAGCTTTAGGTATACCATGCAGGAGTCCTATGGACATATTGTTCGGAGTGACAGTATGGGAGAAACACGTTGCAATCACTTACCGTTGCACTTCCGATCAAACATACACTATAAAATCAATTCTAGTTTGACTATCTCATAGAGCAACAAGTCATGTGCGATCAACCCCGGGATATCATATAGTCGGCTTACAGAGCTGGTTAAATACCATAACCAGAATACGTTGATAATACTCAACAACCGACTCCGAGGCTGATCGACATGATCTACTGCAAGGATTACTCGTCTCGGATTGAACGGAACGATATCTCAAGATACCTGCTTCGGTCCGCTTGTGTATAACCTTACGGAAGGGAGACTACCCGGACGATGATCCGGACAGGAAGGTCGGTGGCGATGACGTGAAGTGGATCGGATATAACCGCCGGATTTCCCTGGACGGATTACTACAACAGTATGCATCGAGGGATGCATGTGTGGCGGGCGCCGTTCGGAGAAAACACGGCCTGGTAGCCTCAGCGGGCGCCTAAAGATATGCGTCTATATTGCAGGCAGCCAAGCCCAATATGTTCTTGATGTGGAAAATTGTGGACAAAGACTGAGTGCGGTGCCCACCCTCCGCCTACATGAACGAGGAGGTAGTTGTCTCACAACGGGTCCCAGTTACCTAACGGGACCGTTTACGGTGGACAAGGGACCATGGGGGTGGGTGACATGTAACTGTGTCGCTATTCAGTGTTTGAAAGAAAACGTTGGGGTCCATCATCATGGAACAATGGTTCGGAGGTGACAGCGAATCCGAGATGCAGATGTAAAACACGGGGGTATAAAAAGCGCCGTTGCAATGCATGGGAAGAACATCAGTTTGTCAGATATATATCGAAATTGGATTGTTTCCCCTCATCCTTTGCAGGCAGGTATGGCGTGTGCGTGCACTATTGACCTGTGTGCCTCTACTAACGATGCAGATAGATTACATTGGACACGCCAAATGCCGAGAGGGCAGAATCTCAAACGCTCGGTTCGTTCCCCAGAAGAACATGGGTGTCAAATGATGTCGAGCATATTCTGCATTCTCAGAGCTAAAAAGGCTAATAATATACATTTGATGCAATCATGCAAGGTCAGAACGTATCTAAGCGCTAATATCGTGCCATCTTTAGTCATATTTCAGCATTGTTGTCGGGATGTCGTTGGTTTGTTGGGGTACCAGCGAATCGCCCAATGCAACTTCGACCCACCGATCTGTTGCGTTCAGGTACAATCGGAGAACATCGTTTGGTATACTGCGACGCGCCCGGCAAAGTTCAAACTTCAAACGCAAAAGGAGAATCAAAGCGTGCAGTAGTCTACGGACAGTTACTGGTTGAACAAATCTCATTGTTCCTTTTGCTTATCTCTGTATCGTTTGGGTATTACGATTTGCGCCTATCCCCACCATTTTTGACTTTGAAATTTACGCGAATTCCGAGTTTTTCAGTCGAAAACACGGAAAGCCAATCTAAGGAAGTGCCAAGCCGAAGAGAGGAAGAAGAGATTGGAAGGCAAATTTTCGCTTTCTGGAAGTCAATTCAACAAGGCCAGGAGTCAATCAACGCCCCTTTATCCAATAATAGTGATGACCGATAGACACCACTCTCAGCCGCTCGGCACGACGCAAGGGTGGCTAACGGTGTGTGAAGTGATCTCTCACAAGGGGGGAAAACCAACCGAAACAAATCCAGAGCAGCGGATTCGCGTCCTCATGTCGAGGATCGGAAAAGATCACCAAGCAGCACCACTTTCTCGAGGATTCGGAAGGACTAGGAAGACGCCGGCGTGTTCTTGGTGGCTTCTGAGAGTGGAGCGAGATATTAGTAGCAAATACGGAGTATGTTAGGACGATGCTAATTATTTGAGCCTGGTTAGGATCCCTCAAGACGGAATCCGGCACTTCTCCACTTCAGAACAGGTGTGCTATTCCTGTCGGGATTGGGAAATGGGTTGCGGGCCATTAAATCCCTATAGTAATAAGATTAAGACGGGATTCTTTAGTCCTCCTCGCTAGTATCAATGGATGGAGTCGGGACGACGGGAGCACTCCCGTATAGTGCTAATTCACCGAAGTAGTTAGGGCATCTGTGGATGGATTTGGTAAGCCTTCCATGTGAAGTGAGCCGTGATGAATAAACAATGTTCTGTATCCTCAATTCGAAAGGAATTGCAGTTGAAACCCTTCTTATGCAGGCATGTTTTGTCTAGGACCAAAAATGTGCATACTACCTCACTACGGAGTAGGTGGTACTCCGTAGTAGTAGGAGACTTCTCTTAGCGATGCATGCAGTCTCCAGGCGGAACGGAACGAACACCCCACATACGATGTATGGCTATGTATGGATATAGATACAAACAAATGTAAAAAATACATCAACACCATCGACTAACTCGATATGACCTAAAGTATTGACCCAAACTCTGGACGGTTGGGGGCAGTTCCAACTTCCTGGTGGGCTGTGGGACAAACAGGATGCATGACTGGCTGTCAATTATCCCCGTGCATATAACCTGTCATTATTATGCAGAGTAATGATCTATCATATATGAACTGACTGTGAGAGTGTCTATGATGACTGGTGATATGAAGGACTCTGACCTTGCAGTGAGAGACTTGGGCGTCAAGGTGGTCAGGTGCTGCAACAGGTATTTCAACGGTGTACTATGTAACCCATTGTTGACAACGGAGAAAAAAAACTATACAATTCCATTATCGCATTTTTCCACCCGTTGATATCCAACTTCCCTGTTGAAATCCCGCGCTTCAAGAGGATATACAAGGAAATGAACAATAAAAACAAGGCCGTTGATATCATGCGATCGTCACTTTGAAACCACACAGCGAATCATAGCCGACGAAAATATTAAAGGGCTTTATATTGGGAAATAAACCCATTAGAAAAATACCACCAGGGTCTGTTTTGGCGAAACACCATCCATACCGCGCTAAGCCTCAAACAAGCTGTTAGCTTCATTTTGTACCAAAATTCCCCTTTTTTCCCATTCCCACTTGGGCACTCCGCTTTCGCGCCCTCTCAGGTTTTTCAATCGCTCGTTTCCTTTCGCTCTCTTTGCCTGCAGTTTCTTATCTGTTCTAAACCGTCTCTCATGAGGGATGGAGTCTCCAAGTAAACCTCTGGTAGGATAGAGAGACTTTTGATGAATTGAAACACCGGTGTGGTTAGTTGGGGCAACTTCTCCGATTTTATTTTCCTTCCCTCCACTCGTTCCTTTTTTCCGCATTTATAGGATTGATTGTCGGGTAGCTTGACTGCTTTTGAGATCCCATCATTCATTTTGAACTACGACCACCCGAGCTCCATTTTTACAGCTCGCTCAGCCTTTCATTTCCCCTTTCAATTGTTCGCCTCTTGTTCTCAACCACTTTTACATATCTGAATCGGTCCATCAAGCGGTGAATTCGCTTCCAATTACGTTCCATTTGACCTCGTTATCGACAAATGTCCAGCGGGAACTGGGTTATCAATCGTGGCCATGGTCACAGAAAATGGAGACTTTCGGTATCCGCCGTCGCCAGGCGAACATAATATCTCCAATCGTCGCAAAGTGCCCAATCCTCCTCGTCTCAATCCTCTAAGAATCAACCCCCCTTCTCCTCCATCTTCTCGTACCGCCACCGCCCCACGTGCGCCTCCGCTCCCACGCTCTCCGAGAAGACCCCCTGTCATTCCGGATGATCCTTTCTTACGCTCACCCTCTCCCCAACCCGGAATGGGGGGTGATTATATCTCGCACAGGCCGACATATCGCATGCCCGCCACTGCCAATCCAACGTTTGAACGCTTTCCCAGAGCTCCCTCGAGAGAAAGTGACTTGGAGCGTCCGACATATCGTCGCAAGACCCCTCCCCCTCAACCAAGATTAAGAACCTCCAAATCTACATCGAAGCTTCACAGACCTCCCAAGACCCTCCATTCCCTGGATCGTCAGTCCAACGACACGCCACAACAGGGACTGGGCTTACCGCGCTTTTATCATAATGGATCGACAGAGGCCAATGGGGAAGATGCTCTTCGCTCCAGTGTGAACTCCGCCATGACGTCGCGCTCTAGTGTCGGACAGGCTAGTGGAACGGAGCGAAGTAGTGTCCTGACGAAGAGCAGCTCTATCACCGATCTTTCTCCTGATACACCAGACGGATCGTATGAGAAGGACGGGGGAATGAGCGTGGAAGATGCGATCTCTATGTATCTCGACGGGTTTAGTGACGTCACAGAAGAGCCGGGATCTCCTGACTGGCGTGGAGAGAGCAAAGCAAGACCGCTCAGTCCCTGTCCGCCAACAGAGCTGACTCTAGACGATGGGCATACTTCCGATGAACATTCGCCCGAACTAGATCCGACCGAGGATTTGCCACCGGTACCACCGCTCCCAGTTTTAAACCCGCCCGACCAGAATACGCTGGATGAGCAGTTCTTGGGCCACGCGCAATTGAACGAAAGGCAATTTAGCGAGCCCCTGGACCAGAACACGCCGGATCGGCCATCTGATACCAGTCCACTAGAGACGAAGATATTCATTCCCGGCACCGTGCCGCCTCCGTTTTTGAAGCCTACCGAGAGCAGGGACCAGTATGGATTTCGGAAGACCAGTCACCACGTCACATTACAACAGTACGAGGCCTGGAATCGCCCGTATGCAGCTTTTGCTAGGAGTCGGAGGAATAAATGGTCAGAATTGCTGAAGGAGCATGGGTTGCCCACCACCGAACCGAGGATTTTCCCGCCCAAATCAAACAAGATCAAGCGTCTTGTCCGCAAAGGCATTCCTCCCGAGTACAGAGGGGCAGCTTGGTTCTTTTATGCTGGTGGTTATGAGCACTTGAATCGTAATCCTGGTCTATATGATCAGCTTGTGAACCAGGCTATGGAAAGCCCAAGCAACGATGACAAGGAGCATATCGAGCGAGACTTGCACCGGACGTTCCCCGATAATATCCATTTCAAGCCTGAATCTACTGACGGGATCGGGAACTCAGGTGCTAGCTCTGGTAGCAGCAACCTGAAGCATGGCTCGGTCACTGTCGAGACGCAAATGATCCAATCGCTCCGGCGGGTGCTCTATGCATTTGCGTTGCACAATCCCCAAGTCGGTTACACGCAATCACTCAACTTTATTACAGGCCTGCTCCTTCTATTCCTTCCGGAAGAGAAGGCCTTTTGGATGCTGCATATCATTACTTCCGTTTACCTCCCCGGTACCCACGAGATAAGCCTCGAAGGTGCTAATATCGATCTATGGATCCTTATGGTTCTCTTGAAAGATTCAACCCCGCTGATCTACAACAAAATCACGGGTTCCGCTCCCGGCAAATCCAAGACGCCTCCGTTGACAGTCGACTCTCGGTTACCGGATATTACACTAGGCTTGACGAATTGGCTCATGTCATTGTACATTGGGACTGTGCCCTTGGAGACGACTTTACGCATCTGGGATGTCTTTTTCTACGAAGGATCGAAGACATTCTTCCGAGCTTCGCTAGCTATTTTCAAGGCTTGTGAGAGGGACATCCTCGCCGTATCCGACCCCATGGAGGTTTTCCAAGTTGTCCAAACGGTTCCCAAGAGGTTGTTGGATGCCAATACTCTACTGGATGAGTGTTTTGTGCGGCGCCATCGTGTTGGACAGGGCCGCATTGAGGAGCTAAGAGCATCTCGACGGACAGCGGTTCGGCAAGAGAAGCTGCGACGTTCGAAAGCTTTGAGCAAGGGATACCTTCAAGCCGCCACGGATGAATGGCCGACTACGCGATCGCGGACACCCGTTCCTGGGGTTGAGCGCAGCATTGCCGATGGATGGCGTCATATGAAAGATGCGTTCCGGTGAATGTCTGCGACGGTGGCTTGCAAAATTGCTGTTGCTTGTAACGAAATCGTTTTTATTGATACCCGAGAAAAACATGCCTTGTTCCAATACTATTTGGTACTCTACGCCCTCATTAATTGTGTTCTTTTGTCCTACCACCCTCGCGCACCGTTGTCTACGGACTCTTAAAAGTGCTTGCGAATTTCACCGACTCATTTCATATTCTGTAATGTTTACAACTGTAATTTCACTCATTGATTGACGCATTTTCACAGCCAGCTGCTGGGCGTTCGTTGTTGGATTTGGGATTGCGGAGTTTTATCTGTGGTCAACTATCTGATTCTTGGGTCTGACATTGCCTGTGCATTGGAAAAGCTTGCGCTGGTAAATTGGAATGGATCTCTGGATCATGAAATGGGCAGACAATGTTCGTGATGATCTTTCTATGTATGTATTGTACATATGTTGCATGAGCGCCTTTTTTTTCCCTTTTTTTTTTTTTTTTTTTTCTTCCAACATCTTCTGTGGCACTGCTTTCAATAAGAATTCTGATACCACTATTATTTACAATTCATGTACATAGGTTAGAGCAATTATCGATCAATTGAAAAGAATTCACCAAAAATGATAAAAGAGAACAAGAAAAAAATCAAATCAAATCAAACAAAACAGAAATAAATTTGTGGAAGAGATTTTGGGAAATATAGTTGGAGTGGTGGTACGCTATGGCAGACTATCAGACGCTAAAGAGTAGGGCTGAGGAAGGGTCCAAGATTAAATCTCTTGGGCTTTCTTGGAACTGCCTCAATGCAACCTCGTCATTGGCTCGGATCAGTTGGCGAAAGTATCATCATGACGCGAAGGAAACCCTTGAAAGGATTTGGTTGGATCATCGATTTCTTGGAGATGGAGCCATGAATTTGGGTGACCGCATGCGGAAGGGATGCGAGATTGTTGCAGGAAATCTTCTTTTCGCTGCCCCCTTGCCGTGCCTTGTGTGCCTGTTTCCTCTTTCTTTTACATCTTTCCCCCCCTCTTTCTTTGTGTCTCCCACGACTTGTGTCCGTTCCCGGCAGCTGGTCATCTTTTTTCAATGCAGCCATGAGCGGTCAAGCAGCGAGTTACTATAACCAAAACGAGAGCTTTGGTGGAGGTCCACCTCCACCTCCACCTCCACCTCAGCAGCAGCAACCATTCTACGATAATAATGCCAATAATGGCAACTATCAATACGCCGACCCCAACTATCAAAGAGGTCCGGAGCCCAAGCAGCCTCACGAACCCCCGCCGACTTATAACCAGGCCGTCTATGGTTTCGATGATGCTTTCAAGATTGAGAAACCCAAGTTTAACGATATCTGGGCTGGTCTTTTGGTACGTCTTCATCTTTATTTTCTTGGATTTGCGTAAATTGTTGTCGCGACCTATCATTCAAGTTAAACTGACCGATGGTGTAGCTCATCGCGGTGTTCCTGGGGTATGTTGCAGTATCTGGAGTAGCGATTCACCGATATGCGAAATACAAAGGTTTCAATGGCGGCGGCATCTATGATTCATCCAACACCTTCTCGCTTGACACCAATACTCTAGTGCTATTTATATTTGTACTATGCGTGGCACTCGCCTTCTCATGGGCCTACTTCCTCGGAGCTCGCTATTTCCCTAAACTCTTCATCTGGGTTACAGGGATCTTGAACATTGTGTTCGCTCTAGCCACCGCGATTTACTATCTGGCGAAGAAGCAATATGGTGGAGGTATTGTGTTCCTCATCTTTGGTGTCTTTGCCATCGTTTGTTTCATCAGTTGGATCCCGCGCATTCCATTTACGGCATTCATGTTGGAAACATCCATCGATATTTCTAGAAAGCACGGACACATGTTCCTCGTCAGTGCGATCGGAGGTATCGTCGCCGTGGCTTTTGGAGCTTGGTTCTCCGTAACCCTGGTCTCGATCTATGTCGCCTATGAACCCAATAGTGGGGGGGTTAATCCGGCATGTCGTGACGGTGGGGGCTGTAGTACAGGCAGAGTAATAGGCCTGGTCGTCTACGTGACATTCGCCATGTATTGGTTCAGCGAATGGCTGAAGAACACCGTCCACACGACTATCGCTGGAGTCTACGGAACCTGGTACTTCTGGAGCAACTCGCCAAACGGCATGCCGAAGGGGGCCACTCGTGGCGCTTTCAAGCGCGCCACAACCTACTCGTTCGGCAGCATCAGTTTCGGCAGCTTGATCATTGCCCTCATCAACATGCTCCGGCAGGCGTGCTCCGTCGCACAGCGCCAAGAGGCGGCAGAAGGGAACTTACTGGGCAGCATCGCATTCTGGATTCTTGGGTGCTTCATTTCCATGCTAGATTGGCTAGTCACCTTTTTCAACCGTTACGCCTTCTGCCACATTGCCCTGTATGGCAAGCCATACATCGAGTCTGCGAAAGATACATGGACCATGATGAAGGACCGGGGCGTTGACGCGCTTGTGAACGACTGTCTCATGGGGCCGGTCTTAACCATGGGTTCGGTCTTTGTGTCGTATGTCTGTGCCTTACTGTCGTATCTGTACCTTCAGTATACCCACCCCGCCTACAACAGCGGCGGGGAATTCACCCCCGTGATCATGGCCTTCTCTTTCGTGATCGGCCTACAGGTCTGCCAAATTTTCATGACGCCAGTGGGCAGTGGAATCGAGACTATCTTCGCAGCCATGGCCTGGGATCCGCAGGTGATGATCCAAAGCCACCCGGATCTCTGGTATCGTCTGGTCAACCTTTACCCCAAGGTTCAACAGGCGGTTCACGTATAATCCAGCTCACTTTGAGAATACGTCAGGCCTACTCTACTATTCTGTTCTCAATCCTGGACACTCGAACCAAAGGATGTTCAAAGACGAGACGAAATTAACGGCATGAGGAACGACTGCGAACGTTATCTAACCCTAATAGATATCCAACCAAGACCTATATAAAACACTAATTTAACCTACATGAAATCAATATCATAATAACAATCATTTCTTCATGGAACCCCCAATCCATACCCATCACAATTCAAATTCTAGAGGACCAACCAAGCCCCGAGCAAGCCAGAAACCCCCATCATAGCAAGAACGGGCACCATCTTCTCCGGCGCTGCTCCCTGGAACGTCTGGAATTGCTCCGGCTGCCCACTGGGTGTACCGCTGGGCGCACCGCTCCTCAGAGGATCAACTCCACTCGGCACAGCCGCTTGGGTACCAAACAACACCCGGGACGAAGTCTTACTGGATGCAGGACCGAACGCCCTTCCACTAGACAAAGTGGTAGGAGTAGCCTTCGCGTTCGCACTGGATGCGGGACCGAACGCTCTCACTGTAGACGAGGTTACAGGCGTAGCGTACGCATTGGCACTAGAAGCAGGACCGAACACCCGAACACTAGATCCGGAAGGGGTAGCCCTTGTGGCCTCACTAGATGCAGGGCCGAAAGCTGTTTCACTGGACGCAGCGACAGGTGTAGCCTCCACGTTAGCACTGGATGCTGGGCCAAAAACCCGCACGCTAGACACAGCCGAAGGAGTAGCTCTCACAGCCTCACTAGAAGCAGGTCCGAAGACTCCCTCACTAGAGGCAGCGACAGGCGTAGCCTCCACATTGGCACTAGATGCTGGGCCGAACACGCGAACGCTAGACACGACTGCAGGCGTAGCCTTCGCAGCCTCGCTGGAAGCAGGTCCAAAGACCCCTTGACTGGACTCAACCGCAGGTGTACCCTCCACGTTAGCACTAGACGCTGGCCCGAACACGCGGACACTAGTAACAGTAGAAGGAGTAGCCTTCGCAGCCTCGCTAGACGCAGGACCAAAGCCAGCCTTACTAGACGCAGCGACAGGCGTTGCGTGTGCGTTGACATTCTCGCTAGAAGCAGGACCAAAGACACCCTCACTAGACGCAGCGACAGGCGTAACTCCAGCATTGGCACTAGACGCCGGCCCAAACACTCGGACACTGGACTCAGCCGAAGGAGAAGCCCTCACAATCTCACTAGACGCAGGACCAAAGGCAGCTTTACTAGACCAAGCCACAGGCGTTGCGTGTGCATTGACACCCTCACTAGACGCAGCGACAGGCGTAACTCCGGCATTGGCACTAGAAGCATCATCAAACACTCCCCGATCAGATCCAGCCAAAGGCGTAGCCTTGACAACCTCACTGGACATAACCACAGGCGTCCACACCACCCAAGTACTAGACACAACATGCTCATTCACCCCAAACGCTGACGAACTACCACCCCCACCATTGTAAACCTGGCTGCTAAGTGGGACATGTCCTGCCGGGGCAGACGCCGACGCCGACGCAGAGTCCGTCTTGCAGTTGCAGGTGGTGCTTGTTTCCGTGACAAACTCGGTAATCACTTTGGGTGCGTCTGTGGGAGTCGGAGTTGGTGTGCGCTGGTTATCGTCGCTGTTGGCGTCATCCACGCGCATCATGGGGTGGCTGGCTCGCATGGGTCCATTGACAATTCTTTGGGTTGGGAGGGCCATTATGTTCTTTTAGACACATTTTTGTCAATTTCTTTGCTCTTTAGATAGGACGGGATGGTATGGGGTAGATTAAGTATATATGTATGTAAGTGCATGATTGGGATAGTAATAGTATCAACCAACCTTATACTGCGGACTACTAGGACCCCGACCCTGACCCTGAGGAACAGCCGTCACAAGTTCGACCGCAAGAGCGGCCATGAATAGGTGTGGAGCTCGCATCTTTCGTTGCAACAGATATCAGAATTCGACAATCTTAAAAAGATACCCTAAAAAGATATTATAAAGAAACAAGAAACAAAGTATAGATATACTCCCTTAATCCAGGGCATATGATCTATATCAATACAGACACCAAAGAAAAGAAAAAAAAAGAAGAAGAAGAAGAAACCAAGACCAGAAATTCTGCAGTAGAAATCACCTAATATATACCCTATCTCCTCCCAACTACCCACAGACACACACACAGACATAGATACATAGATACTCCATTCAAAAAAAACCAACTATACCTCCATATCGTAGCACCTAGCAACACGCTCCCCTCTCCTGAGTAACGAACCAAACTTCACCTCTCAATGGATCGGTAGGTATCCCTTGTCAAGGGCAAAAGGATCCGATGATGTGCGGTTCGGTATGTGTGACCTTACAGATCCCGCGTTTTGAGATGGAAGTAGTAGTACTCCGTTAGTACAGGATACTTTTTTTTTTTTTTCCTAGTAGTGAAATTTAGGAAATGGTTTAATGGTTCTCCCGGTTACTGTGTGACTGTTGTTACAGTATGAAACGCGTGGGTGGTGATGGTGGTGGACATGCCGATGATGTTTGTTGGAATGTTGAGAGTTTATTTTTATTCGGGGAATTGGATTGGATTATAGTAAGGGAAGGTTAGGTTTTTTTTGGGGGGTTTTGCTGGAGGGCTCTTTTTTTTTTTTTTTATTTTTTCTCTCTAGGGGAGATGTTTTTGGTATGGTGGATTTGTTTGCTGTGCTAGGGTGTTTTTGAGATGTGTTAGTGCTTGTTAGAATGTTTGACTCATGTTTTATTTAATACTATGTATAGATTAGCTAGCCATAAGATTCTTCTTGAGTTGGTTTTTTCCGGTGTTGACCTGTTGTTGTTCGTGATATTGATATAGTTAATGTGAGGGGGGTGCTATATCTAGCAGTTTGTTCGCATTCTTCCGGAAGTTTAACGATTCAGAAATCCCGATATTTAACATGGAAGCTGTAAGAGAATTCTAAGAACGAGAGTTGATCTCTTCGTACGATTGGACCGGACAGCGATGGAATGTGACGCAATCTCGCCGAAGTATGTACTATCCTGCTTTATCTTCAGACTAGGGAGCTTTTTCCGAATGGCCGGAGGATAATCATGATTCATTTGGATGAAGTGAAGGTATGTTGTAAAGCATTACAAAAAAAGAAAAAGAAAAAAAAAGAAAGAAGTATATAAGTGTAAACAATATAAGCAATACGCCAGGCAATCAATCGTAAGCATTCTCGTCGTCCCGTCCCATTTAAATGCCATCAGACATTTACGGATAGTCTAGATCGTTAATCATTAAGCTTTCGGGCTGGTGGCACATCGAGTGATATTGACCAGCAACCAGGCGATTATCTTTACCATCATGGTAAGTACGCGCACAAGAATATCCAGCCCCCAGAAGAGGATTCGTAAGCATCCCCGCGTCAAGCCCGGGAGCTTCTGTCCCTCCCGCGAGGAGCCGTAGCCATAGCGTCCATACTTTTCGAGGTCGAATTCTTCGACCATGATTTTCTTGGTCTTAGGCTTTGCGGGTCTTTGTGGGCGCCAGAAATGAAACCATTTTCTCTGGGTGGAGTCGGCGGATTGCGATCTTGCGCGTTTGATTTTCGACATAAGTTGGATGCCTTCTTGGGCATCTTCGTGCTCGTCTAGGCTTTTTATGTTGCTATCTGCAGATGTTTGCTTGGATAATGCTTCCTTGGTCGGGTCGTAGAGCTCCATGTCTGTTAGGACGGTGTTTGTAGACTCGTCCGAGACTGCAACGGCCAGCATTGCAGTGACAAGGGAGTCTATTGCATACAATGAAGGGACCGTGGCGATAATGGCAGCCGCGGAAATGGAGAGGGTTAGCGTACCCAAATCTAGAGATGCTAGGGGCTCATCACACTCGGTCAAAGGGAGGGTCGACGTCCGAGGCGTGGCGGCCATATTGGCGCCTTCAACCGCGTTGGCCGACATAGGAGTAGTCGCGAGAATAGTTGGAGGTTGTCTAGAACCTAATTCTTTCGACGGTGTCGAAACAGAGATGTGGAGAAGTCCAGAATACTTTGACCTCACTGGAGATAGTGGGACACCTGCCGCACCGACAAGGGCTGGAGGTGGGAGCTTGGTCAGCGATGGATGATGCAGCTCATACAGCTGCTTGGCATTATTCCATGAAAGTCTGCAAGACTCTTGTGCTGCAGCTCGCTTTAGAGCTTTGCCTTCTGCTTCTGCAGCTTCTGTGGGACCCAGATGGTGCTTTCTAGCTAACACTTCCGCTTCGTCAAGGGCCAGCATTGCAGCCAGACGGGAGAAGAGGATGGACACAAGTCCGTCATTTGGGGGTTCGCGGCGGCGATCTTCAAGTTTTAGCATCATGATAGGAATACTACTATTCGGTTTGGACGGATTGGTCCTGGTGACGGATAGTTCTTTGGTTGAATAAGTCTGCATCTTATAGAATGGCGCTTGGGGGTCGCCAAACGTGTATGTTTCAGCTTCCGTCCTGATTGAGTCATTAATTAGCACTAGTTTTCGGGAAAAGAAGATATGTATTTACTTACCGTGCCACACGCAAGTTGAAGTTTCCTGCTAGGTCTTGCGGACGCTGGCCATTGGCTGCTTCCCAGAGGCTCTTAAGTTCGGTAATCGACGAGTATTGTATCTCAACTTGGTCAAGAACACCTGCTGGAAAATTCATTACACTTGCGGGGACAGTCTTAGGCCCAAGGGCACGGTCAATCTCTGGCGGTGGTGTAAAGGAGAGTTCCTTGGGCCTATGTGTTCGCGTATTGGCTGAGAGTTGAGGGTAGTATTGTTGCTGGCTGAGAGGCACATTGGGATTATACTGAGGGAATATGGACCTCATAGGAATAACAGGTGAGCTGGAGGCCTCGGAAGCTCTCTGGGCCAATTGGGTAGCTATATGGTTGTTGCTGCTCCCCGTCGGAGATGCCTGGCTGACTTTATATGCCGGCGAACCCCATTGATTTGCTGTGTTATTCTTGGGGCTCTGACTGAAACGTGATTCAGGCGTCCTCAGTTCCTGTACAGTCTCTGGTATGGATACAGGCGCTGACCGAGGGGTTTTCACTTTCTTCGCGGCCTTAATGCCCTTGGCGTCATCGACGATCTGGAAAAGCAGCGCCTCTGTCCTGGTATCTTTCCCATTGAGATCATTCAGAGGAATGGAACCTATAGGTGGTGTGCGCGTAGCTCTTGAATTCTCTAGGCGAAAGGGGTTCTTGGGAGCCTTGGTGTTTGAAGGCGATGGAAACAGTTGAAATTGACTCATTGTGTAGATCCAAAGATGATCGTCAGAAGGGGGTAGATTTGACTGTTAAAAAAGTGGGGAAACATATATATAAACAATCGTCAATAGTATGCAATGCGCAATGGCGACGCTTCAATGTTCCCCAGGATGCACAAGATCGATTACAACACCGGTGATCTCGACACTTCGATTCCAATGGAATGCCAAAAGAGTCTTGAGAATGAAAGAGGGTCCAAACATTGAACCGTGAAGGTATAGAATTCCATCTTCCGTGGGATCCAGTGTGACATATACCCCTCCCCTCGTGGAGTAGAACCCTGGCTTTAGCATCACGCCGAAAGCTAGTTAAGCTCAGCGTCAAGGATCTGAACTATGAGAGGTTCCCACTAGTGTGAAAGATGGACATGGTTATGTATGACTGCCGAATTGCCATGGCCGGCGCTTAACCTTCAACCTCTCGGGTTCGCTGATAGGTTGAATCTTGAGCGCAAAGGCCAGTGTGACATCAAACGCGGCGCTTCGAGGATTAAACCCTGGGACGTGATTTGCGATGATCCTGTCGCTCAAGAACCACGAGCAGCTAGTGTTATGCTGTAGGTAGTGTGAAGAAGTCGGAACAGGGGGATACGGTGTGAGCCGCCAAAAGCTGATTGGCCCTTGTATTCAACACTCTCTATGACTGGTGGTATTTCCTGAAGTTAATCGCCTGAGAGAAACAAATAGGGGTTAATTGTTTCTAGTTAATTGTGATATGGTGGCTGTGTCGTATGGGGAATAGGAGGAAGAGTGGTTAAGGTTGTGAACAAGGATGTGATGAAGTGATCGAAGTAAACCTTGCACTATTCGCTTGTCCGTTTTAGGGCGATATATGCGCCCACGCTTTTCATCTACCATGAGAAATATCATATTGCTACTTTTGTTGAAATGAAAACATCCCTGCGTGCACGTGTTTACAATTTAATTCGTCAAGTCATGGTCATTTAGTGTTGTCATTCTGAAACGTTCATCATAACGGAGTAGAGTGTTTATTCAGCCAGAAAACACCTAAGATCAAAGACCTCAAAGATGTAAGGTCTACCACAAAAAGTATCTGAGCTCGAAAGGTCATCGTCAATATCATACAAACGCCCCAAACAATACCTCTAAAGATGAGAACAACAGGGGTACACAAGATAAAGTACAGGATAATGCTACTCACCGGTCAGGACAGACCGGATCCCGTCTGCAAACAACAACTTGGCATAAACAAAGTGAAACTTCTCAAGATACCCCGCCGCCGACGGGCTGTTCTTGGTCGGATTACATATGAACTGCTGCAACCTGATCTCGGTCTGGGGCGACCGAGTGACCTGGACTCGGTGACATCCTGCGAATCCAGACCGATCCGAGCCATATCCGTAGTCAACGTAGCTAGGCTCCAGCTCTGAAGTCTTTGAGATATGCTTGTCTATCAACTTGAAGGAGCCAAATAAGCGGCTGCCAAGTGGTAAGAGCTTGGTGCTTGGGATCTCAGTGTGGTTCCAGATGGACATTGCTGCCGGGTCATCTTTAAAATCTAATACATATTTGAGTGACCAAAGTCATATTGAGATCCGAATTATGATACAAGAGAGTTGTAGAGGAGCGCGCGCTTACTTGAAAACTGGGCTGGGAATAATTCCCATCCCCCAGCTTTGAGGATCAGCCTTTCGCAAGCAAAGACATATCCGCCAAAGAATCCGGTAGTAAACAATGACAACACTTCCTCGTCGCTTAATCTTGCGATATCTGATTCTAAAAGCTTTTGTGTCACACAGTCCGTGTTGCCTACAACATTGTGGTGTGGATTGACGAAGTTGAACGACGATGAGCGTAGAAATCCAGCGCTAACTGGATAGGTTCTGTGAGATTGGCGGAGAGATCCAAAGAATGGGCCCCGAGACAGAGTGCGACACCAACTGATCGACATGACTAGCTTAGTACTGCACAGACTAGATTTGTCGATATTTCCACAGGAGAAAATATAGGGGAAAGTCAAGAGGTCTCGTAAGTTCGGGCCGAAAGGGTTGCGATGACTCAAATGTATAGCGCGAGCGCTAAATGCTTACACTGTGTGACTTGGACTTGCAACCTGAACTGAAAACGGGCCTTCTTTTGTATTGATTTCAAGCAATTAGTGTCGCTGCTAGTATATAGTATAAAACTAAAAATTTCCAACGAGTGGTCAGACTTTGGGTATAAAATATCAAGAGTCCCATTTCCATAAAGCTCATTGAATAAAGCCCATGCTATATATTTCTAGATTGAACTTTCACCGAGTCAATTGAGCTTGAGAATCTACCTATGTCTTGTAAGAGGCATAGTAGTACTGAAAGGTCGACTTATCGCCGTGGAGGAAGGATATAGTAGGCGGGAATGTAGGCAGCTTGACCAGTGGTGGGTGGCTTTGCGAGGAAGATATTCACCTTGGGATTTGCAATCACTCAGCGATTCCCTCTTGAGAGAGGTTATAAAAGCTTCTTAGAGAAGGTAGGATGGCGGGTTGGGCCCAGCGAAATGTCAATCATGACTCAAGAATGCATGGTACTAAGGGCAATGCGCAACTTTCAAGTAATAGCACCGTAGCTTTAGACCAACTAAAGGGGGGTATATGTAAATGACTGTTTATGTCGCATAGAAGTACACTGCATGTTCGAGGTCCGTATGCAAAAGATGTCTAAAAGATAATATACAGTTAGTTGCCATTTGGACGATCATGCTCCATGGCTTCTTCATGGACCGAATATGTGAGCGCCTCAGCCATTGCAATGGCGCCATCCATATTTCCTTTGTTGTACAAGAATAAGCCCTGCAGGGCGGCCGCACTTGTAGCCTTCGGTTGACCGGGGTCCCGGCCGTTTTCGTCTTCTATTAACCCAAGCTCGTGTAGTCGGTCGAGGAAGATCTTTCGATACTTCCCATCTGTATCCAACTCACTATAAAATCGATCCCAGAGACATGCAACCTGGTAGCGAGTGACCTCGCCCAAACGAACTGTCATGTCCACCCGGCCAGGCCGAACCAGAGCTGGGTCTAGCCGCTCCACATGGTTCGTCGTGAGGAATATCACACGTTCTTCAGCACTTGCAACCCCATCCAAGGCATTCAGCAAACCGGAGAACGTAACGTTAGCACCACGATACCCATCGGCGTCAGACTGAACCCGCCGATTGGAGAAGGCAGCATCTACATCTTCCAGCAAAACAAGTGTGCGGTTAGGAACAATGGTGAGGAGATGGTTCAACCGATCATCCGTCAATCCCCGTTCACTAAGGTTGAGAATGGCAATATCGTAGTCTAGTTCGCCAGCCAAAGCCTGGATAAAGGAGCTTTTTCCTGTGCCTGGCGGCCCGTAGAGTAGATAGCCCCGTCGGTACGGTATTCCACGATCATGGTACCATTTTCCGCTAGAAAGAAAGTCTTTAACATCGTCCACAATCCGTTCCTTGACACCCTCGTCAAGAATGACTGATTCCAAAGGACGCTTCCGTCGCGGTTGTCCAAACAGCTTCCATTCAGAACCCCAGCTGTTGTAGATTGATGTCTTGCCTTCATGTGATTTAGCCGCATATGCGTGAGCCTCTCTGAAGAGATCTTCAAAAACATGGCGATGCGAATAGAGAGTGGTCAGGGTAATCGTCTCCCACGGGCGACCAGTCTGAAGGTCCAGTGACTTCGACTCGCGCATCCGGTTCACAAAGATAAACGCATTCTTGTAACGCAAGACATGTCTCCCTGGACCGGGAACTAACGAAAAATGTGTATGTATCGCACCGTTTGAATGTTCGACTTTTTGCGTTTGGATGGAGAGGTGGCGCATCCCGGGGGTCATTTTCTGGAGTAAGGATTCCATGAAGCCAGACCTGCTGGCTACTGACTGAGCTGAATTGAGCTGCGAACGTTGATATAGCGTCATCCAATGAAGAAACCAGGGATATGAATCATCCTTTACGCTGATTTCCACATCCACGAGCATGCGCCTTCGCAAGAGTGCTGCGCCATGTCGAATTCCTTTTTGAGCGAAACTTAATCCAGCACCCAAACCGGCGAGACCGAAGCCCTAATCGTTCCAAAATCCATTAGACCAACCGTTCCTTGAATACGTATCACAATGTGGTCCAAACCGCCTTACCGCTGTGAAGAAAGGATTGCTAGATAGCTGGGCGAAAAGCCCACCATCTCCGGTGGGCTGCGCAGCCGCCTGGATAGCATCTTTCCTCTGCTGCAGGACTAAATCGCCAGGCGAAGGCAGCCCCTGTGTACTTGGTGGTCCATTCGGGTCCATGCCAACCGAGGGAAAATTAATTACTAGAACTGGCAGTCAATCGAACACTTTCTTCGGGCAGTCAAGTGATTGTTCCGAATGGTATCGGAGACCCGGAACCACAACGGGCCGATTATTCAACCCCCATTAGGCAAAGTCTCGGCTTCAGAGCATACTGTAAAACGGAGATATCGGACTTAATGGAAACATCGCTGTTAGTGTTGAGGCTTAGAGGTTTGATTATGTTCATAGGGACCAGTAAAACCTGACGTAGTGGACTACATTAAACTAGGGAGGCACACTTAGCTGTCAATCATTAGGTAGCTACAGGTACGTAGTCCCATGTCATGTTAGCGCATAATATTTTGGCTTGCAGATGCAACTGATTACTGACGGCGTTCAGAATACTACACTTCGTCGCATATCGCCACCGGTTCGCTAGCAGAGCTAAATTAAATACATTTATATTTGAGAAGCGACTCCCGAAGCCCTGATAAACCGGCATGCGACACTTCTTTCGGCGAATCTTTGGATTCCGTCAACATTCTTCTCATAACTCACCCCAGAGACGCACCATGAGCTCCTCTACCGTGGCAGTTCTTTACGCTCTCACCCTTTCGGTGCCTTCAACTTCAACAGGCCCTGAGGATGCCAAAGAGAAGAAACACCATGTCTCAGGGGGTTTCACGAATCCATGGGAGTAAGCACTGCAGGACGATGCTCGTTATAAACTTCCGCATGCTAATCGACCATATAGTTCCTACAAGACCCCCGCTGTTCAGCGCTTTTTTCTGTGAGTACTACCTAAAACTGGTACTGGGGATCTATATCTAACCCAATGTGTGCTTATTTTCTTAAGGCGACAAATAAATGGGAAAGCAAACCGTCCTGATACCACGCCTCCAACCGTGCCTGTGCAAAAACCAGAGTTCTTGCCTAGTAGAGAAACTCCTAAGTTGCGTGCGACATGGCTGGGTCATGCCTGTTATTATGTCGAATACCCCAGCGGTCTTCGAGTACTGTTTGACCCCGTGTTCGAGGACCGTTGCTCACCAATTTCTTGGCTGGGCCCCAAGCGTTACACTGAAATGCCGTGTCAAATCAAGGATATACCCATTATCGACGCTGTGGTGATCTCTCATAATCACTATGACCATCTATCTTACCCAACTGTCAAAGAGATCTCTGTGCGACACCCTAATTGCCATTTCTTTGTCCCGCTGGGCAATGAGGAGTGGTTCAAAAGCTCTGGAATCGACAATGTGACTGAATTAGACTGGTGGGAGGAACGTGACATCGTTCTCTCACCGTCTCAACCGACTGGCACCCAAGTCAAGGAATCAGCTGGGAATGGCAATTCTAGCCCAGGAGATATAAAAGGGCGAGTTGGCTGTCTACCCTGTCAACATACTAGCAACAGAGGCGTATTCGACCGAGCAAAGACATTGTGGGCTTCCTGGTATATTGAATCTGGCGGACGCAAGGTCTATTTTGCTGGGTATGTATACAGACGGTTACTTGCGAGTACTTAGATTTTACTGCTAACCTATGACTCGATTGCAGAGATACCGGCTACAGAAGTGTGCCAGAGCTTCCTGACGGTGCTGATGACCACGCACCGGAATACGATTTTCCAGTATGCCCTGCTTTCAAGCAGACGGGCGAGTTTCGTGGACCGTTCGACCTGGGATTGATACCGATTGGAGCCTACGGTCCTCGCTTCGTTTGGAGCCCTGTACATGCTGATCCTCATGATGCAGTCCAGATATTCCAGGATACAAAGTGCAAAAAGGCCATGGGTATGCACTGGGGTACTTGGGTATTAACGGAGGAAGATGTCCTTGAGCCACCTAGAAAGTTGAGAGAGGCATTGAGAAGACATGAAATTCCTGAGGCTGGGGTTTTCGATATTTGTGACATTGGAGAAAGTCGAGAGTTTTGATCTGAGGGTCTACTGAAACACTGGTGAATCTGGGTCTGAAACGGTATGGAAAACTGCGGGAAATATAAGTAATCTATATATAGCACTGTCCCATGTACAAGATATTTGACTAGAACTTCAATGATGGAGATTTCTTTTCTAAATATTTCATTGAACTGGTCGGCGCATACTGATAGACTGTAAGCGCTGGCCTAAAAGTTCTAATTATGGAGTAGAGTGAGTGAATTGGCGCGGCGCTACTGATAGAACCTGGTACACATCTTAAATATGAGGGACTAAGTTGCAAAGTGAGCAGGTTTCTTGCATGGACAACACAATTTGACTTGTTTTTCTTACTATGGACGCACTTCTCCTATGACCCCTGCTGATGAGCGCGTGATGTTGCATGATTGACAGCCTGCATAATACAAGGAAATTACCCGGTATATTGACAGGGCTGGACTTAGTAAGTGATGCAAGCAATTAACATAACAATATTAGAGAGAGAGAAAAAAAAAAAGAAAGAAAAAAGAAAACATGGATACAGGAAGCCTAACGTTGCACATCTGTATCAGGTCATTAGCCTTGAGCAAACGCGTTGCGCTGCGCAACCCACAACAAACACAGGCCAAACTCAGGCCACAGCTCGAGAACTATAATCACATTCAATAACGCATGCACTTGAAACCTGGCGTCTCTAGGGCAGTAAATCTGTTATTGAGATAATACAATTATACACATCGGGATGTCAAGCTATTTCGACCCAACAGCACTCATTCCGGATCCCTCTTCAT